TTCATCTCAAGCTCGTTTCCAAATTTGATAATGTTTTGGTCCTCCCACCTCCTGCTGGCTTTGTTGGCTTGAAGGAGTCATGGAGAGCAAGTGAGACATTGTAGTATTAAAGAGAGTTGAAGACCCTGCAAAGAGGCAAGGTATTAGAGATGGTGCAGCCTCAGTTGGAGTTGATTCCCAGCATACTGGATATGACCATATGACCACTAAGGACTAAGGACAGCATCACATGTGAAGAGGCTCTGACATGAGCAAATAGACAAGTTATGTGCTGTAGATGGCAGAGGCAGAAAGGTGGAGTAGGCCAAGCCTTTTGAATTCCAAAAGGTCATGAGTAAATCCCCAGCATAAGATATTGAGCTGTACTACTGGACTTTGGTTTCAATTAGGTTTGTGTCCAGTTATTAACTTTTGAAATGAAAGAGCACCTATCATAATTTTATTGTTTTGCAGGAGTCCACAGTTAAAAAATTTTAGATTTTTAAAAAGAACTTGGACTTTTCAATTGTTGAAATGTTTAAAGTATATGGGACTTTTATGACTTTACTATATTTTATAATATTTTGTATTCTCATATTTGTAATCTCAAATAAAGATTTGGGGATAAATAAGAATGGAAATAAACAAGATGTTCCTGCAGGTGCAATACTGGAGCATCAAGTGTATGTACAGCCAGCAAATTTTTGATTGGATATAATGCCTGCTCCTAGGGGTGGAATACACATCTGGTACTGTAGACCCGGACAACACCCTGTGGAAGGGGAGAATATAGGCCCCAGTGGGAAGTCACTGCATTTGCTTTGTTACATAGATGTCATGCACCTGTTAAAGTACCATTGGCACATTTATGCTTACATCCATAGGTTTTATAGCAGCCACTGTTTGGATCATCTTGCTTCTTGCTGTGTGTGTTTTTATAGTAGATGGAATCCCACTGAAATGGGATTTCCAACAGCTCATGGAAAACAGATGATGCAGAGATGCAAAAGTTCAGTGCCTTGCCACAATGGAAGGGTGATCATCCCATACCTACCACCCCCTCCAAGGATCAGGGACTTTTGCAGAAGAGGTTGATGGGCAGAATGTAAGAGCTAGAAGAAGGGGTGGAATGTCAACTGGAGGTGTCCTCCGACCACTATGCGGGAAAACTATAGTCACACCTCCTTACCACACTCATCAAAGATTCGATGGCCGAGTCAGTTACCTCTCCCACACAATCAGTCAACCTTAGTTGCATGTGGAGAAGGGGCAAAGGATACATAAGCAGAGAACAGCAAGAGGCACCTCTCTCACCATTTTATATGACTGGTGGGAGGTCACAGGATCTGTATTTGAGTGTGAGTCAGTTACCTCTCCCACCCAATCAGTCAACCTTAGTTGCATGTGGAGAAGGGGCAAAGGATACGTAAGCAGAGAACAGCAAGAGGCACCTCTCACCATTTTATATGACTGGTGGGAGGTCACAGGATCTGTATTTGAGTGTGGACTTACAGCACAGCTGTAAATTTGGGGTGCCCACTTTTCTGTAAATAAACCCCTACCCTATGCTCTATTTAAAAAAATAAAATAAAATATTTTTTAAAATTCAACTTACAACTTTTTTGCTTCATTACTCAATGAAACAAACTCACATTGGCAAATCCTTTGGTCTTTGAATTTTTTTTCTATTATTTGGACGTTTTGGGACAGGTTCTCCCAGTGACTCCAACGGGCCTGGAGCTTGCTGTGTGCACTGGGCTAGTCTCAAACTCACATAGATTTGCCAGGCTCTCCCTCCCAAGTTCTGGGATTGAGAAACTATGCCACCATGCAGAGCTTTAGTCTTTGATTTTTTATCCCTACTTTTCCATGCTTAAACTTCATTGTATATATATTTTAATGCAACCTGCTTCAAGTTGTTTCTGGAAAAATGTGTTAAAAATTGCCTATCTTTGGAATAATAAAAATATTCTTAAAAAAAAAGAAAAGAAAAAAAAACTCTACTTACCTGGGCCTGCACAACCCACAAGCTTCTCTCTCGAGGGTAAGTCAATCATACCCTCCACACCTTGACTCCCCTAGCCTCATTCACCCTCTCATCTCCCACCCATCTCTCCTCCTAACCTGGGTCCTGTCCCATTCCTTTACTTGGCACCCCAGACACCTGGGGAACCAACACTGCTTCCAGATCCTTTGCATCCAGACAAACTCAGTTCCTTCTCTGGTCCCCAGAAGCACTCTGGGCCTGGCCCATGCACTCACCTCCCTCTACTTCCCTGGGCTTACATGACCTGCCAGCCTCTTTCATGGACATCAAGCCTGACTTTTCCTCTTCTTGATCCTTTGCATCCAGACCAACCCAGCTCCTCAGTGCATTCCCCAGGAGGCCATGAGGCCAATTCCCACCTCCATCTTCCTTTGCATCTCTGGGAGGCACAGCCACCAGCTGCCCTAGACCAGCAACTTTCCTGGGCTGGGTTCCTAGGCCAGTCCAACCCCCAAATTCCTGAGGCCAAAAATCTTTCCTGGAAGGATCCGGACCTTAGTAGAAAGCCAGAGAGCATCTGATTCTCATGTGTATTCGGCCTCTGTGGGAACTCCTGAAGACAAAAACAGTCTAGCCACTGAAACATAAAATCAAAAGAGAGAAGCGGAAGCTTAGAGGAACCAGCTTTTCATGCCCCAAAAGTAAACCACAAAGACACATAAAGTTCACATAAAAAAGCAGAACTAACTTGAAAGCTTTAGTCTAATACAAGAATCAGAAACTACAAAAGAAATTCACATGTCAAAATCACAGAGAAAAAATAATAACATGAAAAACCAAAATAACATATCCCCACCAAATACCAATAGTCCTCTAGAGGAGTACAATAAGAACCCCCTAGAGATAATACAGGACATGGAACTCAAAAGGACAATTATAAACATGATAAAAGAATTCAGTGAATTTAAAGAACACACAAAGAATTCCCAAACAGAAATAAACAAGAAAATAAACGACCCAATAAAAAGATGGGCTAAGGAACTGAACAGAGAGTTCACAAAAAAATGGTGAAGAAACACTGTAAAAAGTCCTCAACATCCTTAGTAATTAGCAAAATGCTAATTACTAAGCATTTAATGCTAACCAAAACCACTTTAATATTTCATTTTACCCCAGTCAGAATGGCCAAGATCAAGAGAACAAATGAGATATCAAATGCTAGCAAGGATGTGGAGAAAGTGGAATGCTCATTCACCACTTGTGGGAATGCAAACTCACAAAACCAATATTGAACACAGTTTGGAGAACCCTTTAAAAACTAAAAATGAATCTGCCATATGATTTGATATACCATTCCTCTACATATATGCAGAGGACTCATCTTACTTCAGAGACATCTGTGCATTCATGTTTGTTGCTGCTCATTTCACAATAGGAAATTCAAAGAAACTAAATGTCCCTCAGCTGATTAATGGATAATGAAAATGTGGTACATTTACACAATGGAGTTCTAATCAGCAGTAAGGAAAGAAGAAATTAAGAAATCTGCAATTAAATGGATGTAACTAGAAACTGTTATACTTAGTGAGTAACACAGACTCAAAGAAACAAGTAATGCATGTTTTCACTCATTTTTGGATCTTAGCACTAACCCCTTATGTGTGGATCTCTATCCTGCTGTAACAGCAGGATCCAGGAAAATGTAAAGAAAGCACAGAGAGAAATAAAAGGAAATAAAGAGATCATCAGAGGGGGCTAATAGGAAACAGATGTTACCAAGGAGGAAATGGGGGAAATTTGGGGTATTAACCTAGGAAGGGAAGAGGGAAGGACATAGGAAGAACTAGGGCTGTAAAAGAAAAGAAGGAACTCGAGAAAAGGGGTTTAAAAGGAGACAGGTATTATCGAGGTGAAAATGGGGAACATGAAGCCACTTAAACTAGGGAGGGAGGAGGAGGAAGGGAGGTCAGACTGGAAGAGAAAGAGCAGGGAGGTAAATAAATCTTAGTGGTATAAAAAGTCAGAGAGAAATGTATCAACTCAAAAACTTCCTGAAAATATACAATATCTGAACATGCGTGTATGTGTATGTGTGCAGGCTTTATAACAAGAAGCCCAGTGCCAGACAGTAGAAACATCCCTTCAACTTGTTGGTCAGGGTAGTCTAAGAAACTCCTAATAAGAGACTCCCAACATAACACAGACTATTACCAGAGCCTTGCATTACCTCCCACAACTTGAAGGTTAGACATATTGCTGAAGACAGGACATTTTTGGACATAGGACTTGGAGCAATGGAGCTGGAAATAACCTGGAGGTCTTCTCCCTGAAGACTACCTCTAATAGTTCTAGAGGATATTTTGCAAGCTGCTAAGGGAGAAAAATAATCAATGGTCCAATCCAGCTCGAAAGCCATTAATAACCACAATGGGTGGTACAGCAAACTATCTCTATTAGGGTAGCTGTGGCACTTTTGTCTAGAGATTAAATCAACAACTATCCAATTGGATTTAAAGCCCACTCAACAGGAGGCAACTCATGGGTGTTTCTGTAAATATGGCCAAATTTGCATGGCTGGAGAGGTCCTAGATCCTAGAGAAAACCCTATCTCTGTCATATGTCTAGAAAAAATGAAGTTTCTTATAGAATGATAATTATGATTCTTTATATTTTCAGACAAGTATACTGAACATCACTCATCAAAGAAGCTACTTTTTGCAACAGTTAGTAGCTATTTATAGAGTTTCTCAACTGGTCACACACAGAATATATGTTTGAGAAAAACACTGTGACACATCTACAGAATTTATTACATGTTGGAGTCACCATTCCCTTGTTGCAGAATATTTTAACATAGATGCTGTTACTCAGCATTGGTTGCACAGTGACATATTAAGTTCAGAAGTTCCTCAATTTCTCAGTTCTTCCATATGTGAATGAACAATTGACATTCAACAGTTTAAAAACTAATAACTCTCCTTGGTGATAAGACCATTCTTATGTAGGAATGATTTGCTTATATGAATGGTATAAATCAATTATTTTTTTCTCCTAAAAATATCTTTTGACACCAAATCTTCTTCATGGCCTTTTTCATCTCTGCATTTCTTAGAGTATAGATGAGGGGGTTGAACATAGGAGCGATGATGGTATAAAAGAGAGCAAAGAATTTGTCCTGAGAGAAAGTGGTAGGAGGTCGAAGATAGGCAAAGAATGAAGGCCCGAAGAATAAGATCACCACAGTGATATGAGAGCCACATGTAGAAAGAGCTTTGCGTCTCCCCTCTGCTGAGGTGATTCCTTAATGTGAACAATATAATAACATAAGACCCAAAGAGTAGAACAAAAGTTATCAAGGCAACTAGTCCTGAATTGGCAACCACCAGGACACCAGTGATGTAGGTGTCAGTGCAGGCAACTTTCAGCAAATGGAAAATGTCACAGTAGTAATGATCAATTTCATTGGAGCCACAGAAAGGCAAACAGATTACCAAAGAAAACTGGGAAAAGGAATGTGCAGCCCCACCAACCCAAGAGGCCAAGATCAGAACATTGCATCTGGTTCTGTTCATAACAGCCATGTAGTGGAGAGGCTTGCAGATGGCAACATAGCGATCAAAGGCCATGGCTGTAAGGATTAGGACTTCAATAATGCCAAAGAAATGTATACCAAAGACCTGTAGCATGCAGTTAGCATAGGAGATGGTTTTTCTTCCCACTAGCAGATCTCCAATCAGTTTGGGGGTCACACAGGAGGTGTAACAGATGTCCATGGAGGACAAGTGACTGAGGAAATAGTACATTGGTTGGTTAAACAGAGAACTGTATCTAATGGAGATAAGGATCAGCAGATTTCCAGACAAGATGGCAAGGTAGCAGAATAGGAAGAACATGAAGCAAAAAGCTTGTATGCTCTGGCTTGAAGAAAGACCCATGAGAATGAATTCTGATATGTTCTTCTGACATGTCATTTATGTGGTCTGTGCACAAGTAAATGAATATTTGTACAAAAGTGAATTTTAGTAAAATCAGTTACAATTGTATCCCAACCATGTTAAAACAATCAACAAAATTTAATGATCTATTGTATTTAAAAAACATAAATAAGTAGCTGGGCAATGTGGTGCGCACCTTTAATCCCAGCACTCAAAATGCAGAGGCAGGCAGATCTTTCTGAGATTAAGGCCAGTCTTGTCTGCTGGGGCTACAAGGAAACCCTATCTGAAACAATAAAGTAAATAACAATTAGTAATTTCCAAAGAAAAATAAGTTGTAATGAAACATTATAAAACAGGCAAAATATACAATGCAGTAAAATTTTCATTTATAATTCCAATTGTTTTTATTCATAACCGGTTTATAATTTGGGGATTACTCTCTTCCTCCAACAAATCATAGAGTAAGTATCGGAATTTTCCATCGGTATTTATCTCAGTTATATATTTGCAAATTTTGCATTGTTTAAAGAGTGGGCTGGATTTTCCATGAAACATGTTTCAGGAAGCTGGAAGAGTGACAACTCTATTTACAGTTAAGGAAATATTACATTCATGTTTTAACATGACAACTGAACTTATAAAAATATAGTAAAGCTTTAAATTAGTGATAGTTTTATAATTAAAATGATTTATACTTTTTTAAAATTTGGCATAAAATTCTGTCTTTAGGTGAACTCTAGAATCAAGATTATTTTTACAAATGTATGAGAAAAAAGTAAATTTAACTCTGAATATGCTAAGAAAGAATAAATAATGATTATCACATTTCAGGAAAATATATGCACTATGATATTAAATTTTGTGATTGCAAAATATAAAATACTATCCATTGCATGGCTTGCTAAATTATAAACTCTGAGGTGATTGGAGAAACCATGCTCAAGCAGTGGAAGGATGGACTGTACAGGGCATGCCTGTCTCAGATCTGTGCTCTTTCTATTAGAATTTAAATAACAACCAGGAGGATTTCAAACTATACTTCTAAATTGAAGACATCCCATGACTGCTAATTTGTAAATAAAACTGGACTTTTTAGATGGAAAGCATAGTCTTAGAGTGGCAAAGTTCACATTTTCAAAATTATATAAGTGCATTAGTGATGATATGTAAAGCTGTTTGAGGTGATAGTTAAATATGGAGCAGTACCATATGAGTGGGGATGGGAGAAGGGGTTGGAATATGAACAAATTTCATTGTATGAAATTCTCAAAGAATTAATATTTTAATCTATAAACTTTAAATTTTACCAAATATCTTTGACTATATTACCAAGAAAGTTTTGAATTTGACCTCAATCTACCTCCTCGAAACTCTTTATCTCCTATTGAACATAGACAAACTTTATCCTAAAAATTATGTACAAGTGATAAGACCTCCATAGTACTTAGTAACTTTCTTACATTACTAAGTGTATGATTAAATTATAGTTAAATATTATGCCACTTTGTGAAAATAATAAATTGTAATCTTACATATAAACACAAAAAAGACGTAATCTTAACTATATATTTGAAATACTAAATCTAGCATATAGAATGACTTTATCTAACTACCCTACTCAAGAGTTTTCCTTACTGAAAAAAATCTAAGTAAAAAGGACTTAATTTACCAGTTCAAAGAGATATGAACATGTATAGTTTAAGAATAGATCTCCTAACACTTATTTTAGTGGGTAACTCAAGTACAAAGAGATGTGTCAGTTGTGTTACAGTACTGAAAGGTCTATATTCTCACTTCAGGAATAAAGGGTTAGAATTTGCTATCAGAATCAACTATCTAACTGTAATTGTAAGAATAATGCATGGTGTGTCAGTCCTCAGCTCTGAAATTGTTGTAGGACAGTGCATTTCATATTTTACCAGCACACCTTTAATAAATAACCTACCCTGTGTACTAATACCCTTACAATAACATTTTACATTGACCAATTTCATATTTGTTCTACACTTTTAGGTCATTACACTAAAAAAATGAAGATGACATTGTTAGGCAACTTGTGAATGTGCTTGCAGAAAAAAATGAGTAAAAATAATATTAGAATAAAATTAGATAAATATCTGATTTCAGCAATGAATTTTGTACATAAGCAAATTCCTGATGTAATATATAGTTCTGTTCACCTGAATGCAGACAATATCATAGACTAATATTTGTTATCTGGATGAACAATGAAAATTGAACTGTGGCTATATTTTCTTCAATATCTGTTATTTGCTTCCAGCAAATGCAAGATTTTTTTTGATGACAATAGTCACTCAGACAATGCAAACCTGAGCAGTAGGCACATCTTATTCCCTTCAGTTGTTTTATGCAGTAACTATTTATCATTTAATTTTGAAAGCATAAATAAGATTATTAGGAATTTCTCTATTCACGAAAGTTGTTACTGGTGGCACATAATACCGAACTACATTAGTTTTGAGTTTCATCATCAATTAAGCTATCAAAAAAATGCAACTCTGATGAAAAAATTAGGTATACATGAAATTGACATATGAAAAAGCCAGAGGAAGATACATAACCAAGAAGTGTTAAACTTTTCTTCTCTTTCTCTTTCTTTTATAACTAATTTTCATTTGTTTTTTGAGAGTGGATCTCCCTGTAGCCTCTGTTGGCCTGGAGCTCATTATATAGACCAGACTGGCCTCAATTTCACAGAGATCAAACTGCCTGATTCCCAAGTGCTGGAATTAAAAGTGTGCACCACCACGCCTGGCTGATGAATGCTCATTGAACTAACTAAAACTAGCTATAAAATCTCATTCAAATATTTTGAAATAATTAAAAGGAAAGAAATAGCTTGTTTGTTAAAATGTGAATCTGAACATGCTTAGAGGTAGACAGTTTGGCTGACAATATAAAATCAATCAAATTTTATTATTGTATGGCTGTGGGGTCTTTCTAAGGCATAATTTTAAGTAGTTACCTTTTACTTAATCAAAAATATGTTAAATGCCATGTGTAGTGACACCTGCCTTAATCCCAGAACTCAGGAGGCCATGGCAGGGGGATCTCTGTAAAGTGGAGCCTAGCCTGAAATGGTCTACATAGCTTTGTCCAGTCCAGTTTGGGCTACATAGTGAGACCCTGCCTTAAAAATCAAACATACAGAAACAAAACAATGACATTTAAGGTTTATATAAAGGAGAATGAAAAACTCTGCACATTGTACAAATGGTGTCAGCACAGTAAATGTGTCTCTCTCCTGTACATTAATCTTTTAATTTTGTATATACAAAAATTTCTGATTCTATTAGTAATATCAGTACAAACCTTTTTTGTAAAACTTCTGTACCTGATTCCCATGTAGTGAAACAATCTTAAGAAAACAGTTTGCGAAAATTCTCAATTTTCCATTGTTGACTTTTGGACGATAACTCTAAATATTATGTAATGTTTTAATATCTTATTCCATAATTAATTGTATTAGAAAAGCACATTAAATAAAAAAACAGAAAATAAATCATTCACTCTTGCTCAAATTTTGATGACATCATCTGAAGAGTAGTAACCTTAACAAGAAAAAGTTCAAAAGATCTGATGTTAAAATAAAGATTTTAACACGGATTACCTGCACATGAATGATAGATGTTCTTCAGTGTTGTTTTCTATTACTCCTTGTGACACAACCCCCACCTCAGATACACAGCTTGCTGACCTTGACCTTGTCGTGGCATTTACACCTGAAATAAAATAGAATGCTATAATCCAGATCAAAGTATTTCAAATTGTCAAAAAAAAAACAAAAAACAAGCAACAACAACAGCAAAAAAACAACAAAAAACTGGGGTTGCTTTCTCCCTTAACTAAAGGAAAATTTCATGAATTTATCAGAAAAGCAATGATTTAAACACTCTGGATTCACATTGCATATTTTATTCAAGCTAAGAAAATGAACTAACCTTTCAAATGCTGACATTTCGTTATATCAGTTCTGACTTAAAGATTAACCATATGTATATATATATATACAAAGTTCTCTGAGTGTTAGCTTCTTTATACCTAATACTACAAACATATACTTCCAGAGTCAAATAGGAACAAAAGAATTTGCAACAGCTTTATTTAATTTTGAAAGTAAGGAGAACCTGCTCCCCAGGGAGTTTTTCTTAAATGATGCTTACAATATAACATTATGCAGTTGTCCAAGTTTGTAGTCCTCAATCCTCTTGTGAGGCTGAAATTCTCTTTCCTCTTTTTCAGTAGCCACGCTCTGAACACTGTCTCTAGAGGTTACTACTATTATTCTGATTGCAACTGAATCAAATTTTTTTCTTTATTCTGGTTAATTTCCTTTTCTGATTATGAGGAAGAAAATGTGTTTGGCCAATATAGAACACTGAGATTTTCCTTGGAGGAGCTCTCTATTTCTGTAGAGGAGAGACAGCATTCACAGGATAAAGAAACTCTATGAATGTAAGAAATGATGGAAAGTCTTTCCTTTGAGTAAATTTCAAAGTCATGGCAAATCTCACACTGCAGTTAGATGTGTAAGACATCAATGAGAAAGTCTTCACTGGTTAACAATTCTCTTCAATACTATGGAAAATTGAAGTACAGGAATTATGTGTTAAACTAAGGGAAACCTTGAAAATCTCAGTTTCTCCCAATACTGAGGAATGTCAGTGGAGAGAAATAATATGTATGTCATCAGAGTAGGAAAGCGTTCACAAAACCACCTCCCGTTCCTATCAGGAAAGGATTCAGAGTACAGAGAAGTTATATGGGTGCGATTAATTGATATGTGTAAACCTTCACAATATCAAATACCTTGCCAACACATGACTGATTTCATACAGGAGTGAAAATATGTGAATTAAAGTTATGTTTTAACACGTTATCTGATCACTTCTTTTTTAATACTGTAAATGATATACACAGGGTGCAAGAGGCTTTTCTTCTTTGAGCGAGGTTCAAAGACTGAATAAAACCACACTGTAGTAAAGCCATATGCAAGTAAGCAATATAAGAAT